GTACTTCACCGATGGGAAGTTAGACCGAGCAAATTTCTGAAGCAGCTCCACTCTCTTGTCTCTGTTGTCTCTGCTCTTGATCCTACACAAGAAAAAGAAACATGTTTCAGACAAGAAAAATATGTGCATGTTTGTTTCTTTCTTGCAATGTTCTGTTCTTTACCTGTGTCCAATCCCCGGGACTCTGATTCCCTTCTTCTTCATTCCCTCGACGAACTCATAAGGTGTGAGATTCTGAAACAAGCAACCAATTAGAGGTCCGATTCAAGAATTGATGTCCTTTAGGGGAAAAATGATATAGCTTCTTACCCTGTCACACGCGTCCTTGAAGTATCGAGCAGCGTCATCAATGGCACCACCAAATCGAGGACCAATGGTTAATAAACCTGTTTGAAAGGTTTAACACACTCAGAGATTATTGCACGCTAAAGAAAACCAAATGTGTTTGGTGGGGCAAAAGGAATTTTACGGACCTGAGACAAGACTTGAGACAAGGTCTTTGCCTGCTCTTGCAGTTACGATGGTGTTGTGAGCGCCGGAGACGCATGGACCGTGATCAGCACACAGCATTATGCATATCTAATTCAGTGCAATTTTCAAAAGTGTCAGAGACCAGAGTCAAAATCTCACTATGCAAATGTGTGTAGGTATGTATGAAGGGATAAAGAGAGATGTGAGAGAGAAATTGAGACCTCAATGAATTTTGTGCAGTAACGAGGAAGACTACGTTTGAACCATAGAAGGGAGATGACATCACCCACTCCATAGCCTTGTTCGATGATGGAAGACATTGGAACACCGGCATAGCATGGTTCCTCCCCTGTGTGAAGACAAGTTTTGTTGTCAAGTATCAGAAAGCAGGCTTAAAGAGGCATATGAATATAGTAGAATAAGGTTTAGGTTCCATGACAATACCTCTGTCATCAGAGATGGTGGAGATGATGTGAGTAGGGGCTCGAACTTTCCCACTCTTAATTGCAGAACTGAGATCCTCTGGGATTTGTGGAGGAGTGACTTCCTTGATAGGAGAGACCTTTCCTTCTTCAACCTTTTCCAAGGAATTGAAACGAACGCATAAGATTCCAACCAAAGACAATGCATGCAAGCTAACAAAGAACAGTAAAGGGAAAAACTGACCAGTTTCTCAAAAGTCTCTTTGATTGCAGATTCGAGGGCTTCGAATGAAGTGGGAACAATAGCACCAGCATCCATGAGAGCTTGATTCTTGGCTTGTGCAGACTCCATCTCGCCACCACTTTTGGCACCCTATTCATAATCACGTTTCAAAAACTTTTTGTTGATTTGGAAAAGATTTGGAAAACAGACAAAAGGCATTGCTTAAAAGGTTCTTTTGTGCCACTTACCGCGTGACCAAACTGTACTTCAGACTTGAAGAGCCGGGCACAAGTTCCGCTGACCCAAGCAACCACAGGTTTGTTGACTTTCCCCTGTTTCAAAGCTTCAACAAGAGAGTATTCATCTCTTCCTCCAAGCTCTCCAAGTACAACCATCATTTTTATCTGCAATATAGCTCTTGAATTCAGGCATAAAGATGAATGAAATAACGCAGGACATCTAAATTCCTCAAGAGATTCGTTCCAGATCAACAAGTTAAAGTTATGTTAAATACTTGAAGACCGGTATGTGCATTACCTGAGGGATGTTGTTAAACCGAAGGATGTGGTCAGATAAAGTGGATCCTGGGAACACATCTCCACCAATAGCAATGCCTATAACAATCCCCCAAAATAAAACATTCTTAGTAATATTCAACTTAATAAGTCATTAGTAGATTGTTTAACATTAAAACTCACCTTCATAGATCCCATCAGTCACACGAGAAACAGTATTGTACATTTCATTAGACATTCCACCCTACAAGAAACAGAGAGGAATGAATAAAACTCTCAGACGTCATTACAATGAGCTTTAGACAGATCTGAAAAAAAAAGTAGCACATACAGATTTGGAGACAAAGCCAACAGATCCAGGTCTGTACAGCTTGCACTGGATGATGTTATCAATTGTTCCTGCAGTGTCACCGATTTTAAAGGCTCCAGCTTGAATTCCTCCAACAGTAGCCGGTCCAATAACAACCTGCAACAACCAAATCAGTCTCACAAAGATCAAAGTTATAAGAAACCTGAAGCTAATCATCTCTCACACACACAAACACATACCTTATTGTTCGCACGAGCATAAGCAATCAGCTGCTTGGTGTCTGATTCCGGAACACCTTCCGCTATTATGGCCACAACTTTAATAGTTGGCTGCTTCAAAGCAGCCATGGATGAAGCAGCAGCACTATATAACATAAGAAGAAGGAATAAAAACATTAACAAAAATATCAAACAGAGACATTCTGAGTTTTGTTTGTTACATGAAGTTTCCATACAAACCTCCTGAAAGATGCAAAGTTGATGAACACATCCGCTGTTGGATGCGCAGCACAAGCTGCCTCAATGCTGTATAACACACAAGAAGATTAAAAAATCAAAATTTGCAAATAGCTTCTCTCAGATTTTATATGATTTTTCACATGAAACTCACGCGGCATGAACAGGGATAGCGATCTCCTCCTGCCCAAAGAAGAGCTTCTGAAACCCTTCAGAGCCTGGATTTATGATTCCAGCAACAGATGGCGTCTCACGTCCTGTAAAAGCAAATGATCTCTGATATCAGAATCTCAACGGTCGAAATGATCCGATCAACAAGTGTTGAGACACTGCAAAATTCGTAAATTTACCACAGAGGAAGTCGAAATCGAGCATTCGCTGAACAGGAAGCTGCTTATAGTTGTAGAACAAAGCTTGTGTGGTCCGGGAAAACAGCTGACCCGTTGCCATCTTTGGAAGAGCTCAAAACTAAAGAATCAAAACAAACACAGAGACGATATGATCAGATCCAGATAACAAGCAATGCAGTGGCTACAGATTGTTCCTATTGAGGACCTAAATCGATACGAACAGAATTAGGAATAAGAGAAGCTCAGAGATTTGAAATTTGAGTACTTTTTACACTAATCGAAGTCGGAAACGGAACAAACACTCCTCAGAATTTCCAATTTCTTAACCACTAACACGCAGATCTCACCTTCCTTTACTACATTAACGACGAATCTAGGATTTAATAAAAACGAAAAAAGTTTCGATTTTTAGGCACTCTCCTCGTAAATATCGAAACTTTTTCAGAAACACGGATCGGAATCAAAGACAGATCTACAAAAAGCTTACGAATTGTTCGATCCTAAGGGAGAAGAGAAGGATTGAGAGAGGGAGAGGAGAACAGACCTAGTCACGACCCGAGTCGAGCGAGTCGAGTCAGAATTGAGAGAGAGAGAGAGATAAATGGTGTGGTTAAGTAAGGAATGGTAGAGAGGAAACACCATTAATATAGAAATGGGAGGGAAACAAATGCTGCTCTCTTACTCAGTCATGTGGCCTATTGGTAGGTAGTTAGATCACAACTTCTACCCAAATTTGATGATTTTGTATTATTTGGCATTTAAAAAACACATCTAATGTAGTGTGTGATTAGTAACAGTAAATACAAATTAATGTGCTAATTTTTGTAGCATCGTTTGTGTTTGTTAATTACGGAATGTGGTGGTTTTTGTCCTTTTAGACGTAATGATGGTCGTTCAAATGTCGACGTTTTAATTAAGCGTGGCTTACCCACCTTGCTGGTGGTGGTAAAGGGCGGTTTCGATTCTGTCTTCAAGATTCCGCAACGTTTTTCATTCCTCAGATCGGTAACATTTTTCAGTTTTTAATGTAAGGTATAGAGAGATAAGAACATGCAATTACAAAGTACTACTATAATGTTGATGATATTGCATCCGAAAACTGACCTCATTCGAACAAAAGAAAAATCTTGCTCTCTCTCTCTTGCAAACTAATGAATTTCAACTCCGAGAATGTAAAACAGAGGACATAAACAGAGCATTTATCAAAATGGGCAAAGAATAAGATTAACATAATTAAAAGCAATGAGGTTAGTTAGGTATCCCGATTTGAGGCGTCCTAATCTCGAGCATAAATAATCCAACAGTCCAATGTGATTTTTGAAGGATATGATCATATACACTTGGGTAAATAAGTCATGAGAAAATATTGTGTGTTACAAGTTACAACATAATATCATTATGGTGCATGGAGACGGAAACGGAAAAACACATTAATTTGTACGTAAGGTCAGTACGTAGTCATATAAGACTGAAAATGTTTTAAACACATTAATTTGTATTTATATATATATATATATATGAATAATAAAGTATTAAACATAAAAGTAATATTATATAGTTTAACTAATCATATATATCATAATGTTAAAATTTAAAAGTACATCTTATAATTATTACCATAATTCCATCAACCAAAAAATTATCTTTAGTTATAGTTCATCAAGAAAAAAAGATCTTCAAACTCAATAGTGCTAAGACGAAACTCATATAATAAATTAAATTAATCATTAGTTTGCCGTACATAATTAATAAACCATTTAATTTTATTATATGTTTCATAATTATTTACTTATTATATTTTCAATGAATAAGAAGTAAGTTTTCGTCAAGTTTTCGTTCCGAGTTTCTAACTAAAACGTTAAAATATGTGAAAAATACGAGTTTCCAACAATTTTCCCAAGAATTTCTGTCTTGGACACATTTTCAAAATGGGAAACGCACATCCGACATAGTTTCCATGCAACATAGCAACATAAACAAGTAACATTTTTCATCACCTAATCATTTTTGTGCATAAATATTTGTATAATTGACTGTAATGGTTTTGTAAAATGCTTTTAAATCAGTAAATATTAAATTGTGCTAGAAAAAATAATCATTTGAGTGAAATGTTTAAAATAAAATAAAAGCAATGGTATAACCACGAAGAGTCTAGCTAGGATCAGTACGCTTAATGAGAAACAATCAAGCAAACTCAATAAGAGAGATACAAATAAGAAAATGGTCAAAGGACAAACTAATTCAATAAAAGCTCTCATGTCTTGAAGGACGCCATTGGTTGTAGAGAATCACGACCCAACTGCCATGGTCTACGCCTACAATCTCCAGCCGCCATTTCCGCGTTTGCGTTCTGACCGTCGCCGCCACCATGCGTCAGCGTCAAGCTTGTCGTGGGCATCATGTTCTCTAAATCGTTGATGTAGCTCGAGAGCCACGTCTTCTCCGATCCTAAAACCGCGTTCTCATACTCGACCGCGTCCAGCTTCTGTTTCACCACTACGCATCTCTGGCGGCTCTCTTTGATTCGTCTCTCCAAAGTCGTGATCTCTTGGATCGTCTCCTCCATTAGTTTCTGTTTCTTCAGACGCGATCTCCTAGCCGATTCGCGGTTTGACAACTTGCGTTTCCTCTTCTTCTCGTCTATGTCGGAACCTGAACTTGTCTTCTCTGCGTTTGCCATGTTTTGTCCTAACACTTTCGACTATAATAAAAAAAAAAAAAAAGAAAAAAATCTATTCAAGAGAAAACGTAAAACCAATGGAGAATCACGACGGATACAGAATGATAAACAAGGAATCGAGAGAATCGATTGAGATTTCTCATTTCATAACTCCGTCCATTACCATTTCTCTTTGGTTAAATGAATAACAACTCTAAGAATTTCCAGAATCTGTGTACTACGAAGATCTCCAAAAATCAAACAAGAAGATGTAATGATTAGAGAGAGATTAGAAGCGAAATAGAACAAGGAAGAAGATAAGGATAAGATCGAGAAGGGAAGTGGAGAAGTTGTTCGTCTTAGGTTGCCCATATTTATAGATGATATTAACAAAGGAAATAAAAATAAAACTCCTTTTAATAATTACATTACAAAATATTATCCGAAATCGAAAAAGGAAGATTCATCGAATGACGAATCGGAGAATAAAGAGAAAAGTGTAAGCTGAATAGGAAATGAAATGGATATTGGAGAATTTTGGTCAATACATAACATTTATATTCTTTACTTTTTTGGACATAACAGCTAAATTTGCGTTGGTGTTGTTCCCTTAATGGGCAGACCAGCAATTACTATTTTTAGATTTTGAATTTAAACTATGTGTTGGCTAAATATTTAGCTGTCACGGTCGTAGTGTGATTCTGGATTTATTTAGGGATTCTATAACCTTCTTCTTATGTCATTGTCCAAATTTAATCCTTCGTTTGTTCTAAGTTCCTTTTCTGTTTCTCCAATGAAGATGAAACACGATTGGATAATATCTGAACGCTATATGTGAGTGGGTTTTGTAGCTGTGTTGCATGGAAACAAGAACTAGGAAGCGAAACATTTTTGAAACGTGAAACATTTATTTTTAAACATTTAAAATTAGAAACTTTTGGAAATGTATATATATATATATACATATTTTCACATACATATATGTATAAAGAAATATTCAGTATATAAATTATAAAGTAAAATTTTAAATCAATACAAAAAATAAATAGTTTAATTAAAGATAAAATCATAATGTTAAATATTAAAAAATGTATTTCATTATATCTTTTGTGAATTTTGTCGACTAAAACTATCTTTAACTGGTTCATCGAGAGAAATAACATTAAACTTCGTATAATGAATTAACTTAAAAATTTACTTACTCAAACGAATTAAATTAATATTTTATAGTTTTATAACTATTTACTAATTATGATTTAAAAAAGAAGAAATAAGTTTATGTTTCGAAAATGAAATTTTTAGAAAATGTGAAGAAATAAAATTTTAACAAGTTTCGAGAGTTTCCGTTTTGGAAATGTTTCCGTACAACCTAACTTTATTCTTTGTAGTAAATGGCATAATTTTTTTTTCACAATTTATTGTCCCATAATTTTTCTAAAAAAATTCTTTAACTCGATTTAAAGTTTTTAAGCACAAATATAATTGTTTTCCCTTATGAAATAGTCTTTTATTGAATCTGTATGACTTGCAAAGTTTTTCATATTATTTTAATTAAATATAATGTTGGACTCTATATATAATAATAAATTTTGCTAGATAATTCGCCTAGATTACCATATAAACGTGGAGCAATGACAACTATTTTAATTCGCGAATTTAGAGACTGCGCTTAACATGGTTGACAATTTTATTAATAAAGAAAATTATCCATCTTAAAAGCATACTGTATATGATTTTGATTTTGCTTTTGTGCGGGTCTTATCCCAAATGATTTTCAAATGGGAAGATTAAGAATATGAAGGAAAGAGGTCTGTATTGGTAAGCCAGCCTTACTTTTTTTCCAAATTAAAATACCAAATATATTATATAGTTGAAAATACATGATCCTTATCTGCTCACCGATTTTCTTTAGGTATATCACACATAAAATAAAATATCCTCTCAACGACAGTAAGTATGTAAATGCACTTGGTGAGTTGGTTGGTTCGCTAGTCTGTAGATTTATGTTCGTCTTGGTCAATCTTGAGATATTTAAGTTAAGTTTTACAACAAAATAGAAAAAGAAATACTTTTAAAAATCAAAAGCCTAATGATGTTATTTCTTTTTATATATTTATATGAAGTAAAAATATTTTAAAACTGTTCTCTTTTTATCTTTAACACCAGTTTTTCTACCACTTTTTGCTTATTAATGATTTTGTATACAATTCTATTAAATTTTCAACCAAGTAACTGTACGGAAATAAGCCCATATATCATATATGACATATAGTTACCACCGGGTTAAAATCAAAAATTAAATTTGATAATGATCAAATAATAAATTGCCTTTGTGTGAAGCTCCACATATAGCTCTTGCTCTCTTTTGAGAGTGAAATGGAAAAAGCGAAAAAAACTTAACATGAAGTAAAACTCACACTTTCACAGAATAGTAAATTTTATGATTAGTAAAACTTTGTATAGTTATGTCTTTCTACGATTTGGTGACTAATTATAATCAGGATTATACAATCAATTTAGAAAATAAGAATATTTCTTTGTGACTGTTTTTTTATAGGTCTTCACATCTCTTTACACACATGTTTTTTTTTTTTCTTTTATCACTGAACATACTTTTAATATGTTTACTTTTCTCTTGGTTGATTACTATCTCAGAAAACTCATAAACTTCGACAAATAGTTTTGTAACTAACATATACAAAATAAACTACTGTATTTTTCTGCTTGTTATCATTCATAATCGTACGTGTACTTAGAGAGTATATGCCCGCTCACCTCTATACTTCTTTCGTAAGAATTATCGTCTTCGTCAGAGTTTTATATACGCATACTTATATAATCTTATAATGTGTCCACTGCTGATCCCTCTGCTGGCCCGACAATTAGTATATTTCGTAGTTAGCACGGTTCGTGATTATTACATCATCTAATTTTCCTTAAACAATTGGGTGCGAAGGTTGCCTAACGCTTACGTATATAATTTGCTAAGCTACTAGCATGTTCTTCACTTAATTTTGTTAATTATTTATGTTGGCGTCGACATATGATTTTTCAAATTAATACCTTTAATTTGTTTCAGTTGTTTTGCTGAAACAAAAAAAAAATCAATAACATTTAGGGCTAACATTTATGTTTGCAGTATTTTTTCATTTTTTTTGATAAAAGTATTTCAAGATTACACTGGGTTACTAAAGTGATTATAATATATATAGACCAATGAAGATAAAAAAGACTTTCAAAGATGCAAATCTGCCAAATACATATCCCTTGATCATTTACAGATTAATGATCAACACGATATAAAATATTGTTAGTAGGCAAGAAAATTCTTTTCACAAGTCTTACGTATCAATGAATGAGCACTAGTATAGAAAAAGCTTCCTACAATTTATTCCAGTTTTTCTACATTAGTTCTCCACTTCAAGGGAAAAAGTCTCCATTACCTAAAAAAGAGAGATAACATTGTGTTATAGTCTTGCGTAATCTCTCTGACTCAACCCCTGCATAATTTATCATTAGAAAGCCACTAACATCAAACACAATTACATATAATATAGGGATGCAAACGACATCATTATCGTCCATAAATGGATAAAAGAGAATATGATGCCATCATGCTCATCGCTCAATTTTAGTTAGGCGAACTATATAGTAATTATATTTTTTAGTTGATCCACTTAATGAAGACTATACTCACTTTAAACAACTATATTTACTTGCACAAATTCAAAAAAGAGGAGAAGGTGTAATACAAAGGGAGTACGTGATTAGTATGAGCTATACCAAAAAAAGTAAAAGTTGGTTGTTTCGATATATACAGGTATATCGAGGATTAATCTCCCACCAATTGGTGGTTAATGGTGGCTATATAACAAAGCTACTGATCTAACAAATCTAACAACCCTAAACTTGTTTCATTGAAAGTTTTTTTTCGAAATGATTTGAATGAAACACAAGAATCTCTTGCTATGTACAACATATGTTATTGTGACTTGGTATGGAATCGAAACCCCCGGCATCTTGCATAAGAACTAAGAAGACTAACAATTCATTTATTCATCATCCTATCCCTTAGAAGACTAACAACATGTGTTAGATTCACATGTGTCTTTTTATACATCATAACTTACTCTTTTTGTTGGTTATAATGTCTCTCAAATTATTTCTCACGGACCACGGTTAATCTTTTAACGTCAAAGCCGTCTTTTAGTGCATGTATTTTCGTTAATTAGTTCGTTCTTATGGTTTTACTTATTTTGTAGTTTGTTTTAAACCCGTCTTATTTCAGTCCCAACTGGTTTGATCTTTGAGGTGAGTTAGGTTTTGTGCAAATCCGAATCCTTAATCGCCAAAAAGCCTCGAAATTACAAAAGTTTTGTTAGCTACTACAAAAACAAAATGTTGTCCTATGAGCTAGATGAACATGAAAAAAAAACAAACTACGAAGAAAACTCACGGGCTTAAGAATAATTTGCGGCTAAATCAATCTTCAAGGCCCTTCATCGGCCTCTTTTATAATTCTAAAATCATAAAAAAAAAAAGTGTGGCTGCTGGGATTCGAGCCCAGGTCTCTGCTGGCCACAACACATAATTCTCGCCACTAAAACTCAGCTACTGTTGATAAAATATTCTAAAATAATATTAAAAAACGTAAACAATGTTTGTTTGTGGGCCATGGCACGTGACCCTTAAACTTAAAAAGGCTGCTCGTGTTGAAATCAGCGAAACGCTGCGTTTTGAGGCCCCAGTTCGTTTTTGTGTTCTGTTTTCTCTTTCTATCCTAAGTGCGTTTCTCCACAAAAATCCTTCGCCTTCTGCCGAAATTTTGTTTGCTCAAACTCTTAAAACCGAATATAACCCATACCAGTAGAGAGCAGCTTCTCAGAGATTGAAACTCTCTGCTCATTTGATTTTTGATCCTCTTTCTTCCTTTAATCCACAAAACCTAATACCAATCCCTGGTTATTGACTTTCTCTGCATCTGGATTATCCCCTCCCATCAAAACTGTCCCTTCTTCATTCTCCTTCCGAATCCAAAGGAAGCTGAAGGTTTCGATGAATCTCTAAGCGCCGCCTTTTTCTTCAACGGAGAAGACTTCAAAAGGTTCGATCAAATTTCGTTTTCTCCTTTCTACCGTGACTTCTGGGGATTTGTTTTGTATGTCTGTTGCTTAGAGGAGCTGTTGT